GCCCTTCATTCGTGGCATTCATTGCACACCTACTGCCTGCATCTGGGGAGGAATGAATAGATGCTGGGCTATAGGAGCTGGAGTCTCAGAGGCTTCAGGGTGATGAGCATAAGGATCAGACAGGGCTGGATCATCCCACCTGCTCTCCCTGAAGGCTTTTAAGTCAAAGCGCCTTGGGCCGAAGCTTTCCAGGTGGCTCAGTGGTAAGGAATCTGCTTGCCACTGCCAGAGACTCAGGTTTGACCCCTGGGTTGGGGGAAGATCCCCTGGAGGAGAAAATGGCAACCCACTCCAGTATTCTTGCCTGGAGAATCCCATGGACAGAGGAGCTTGGTGAGTTGCAATCCATGGGGCTGTAAAGAATTGGACTGAGCGTGCATGCCTTCTTATGATTATTATCTGCTTCATTAAAACATTATTTAGGGGTTTCCTTGGTGGTCCTGTGGCTAAGACTTTACACTCCCACTGCAGGGGGCCTGGGTTTGATCCTTGGCTGGGGAACAGATGCCACATGCTGCAACTAAGAGTTTGCATGCCATAACTAAGATGCTGTGCAGCCAAATAAATATATTTTTAAAAACTTTATTTAAAAGACTACTTTGTACCTCTGCCTAACTGCTTATTAGCAACGTTCAAGCCATCTTAGCTTGTCTCATAAGCACATGGAGAAAGAATGACAACTCAATCCTTCTCGGTTACTTTTCCCTCTTTACTTTATCTCCCAAATGTTATTTCTTCCAAAATGCACAAAGTGACCTTCTGTTTTCTGCTTCAAGTGACTCCATAGCCTGGCACTTTCTCGTTTCACCAAGGGCCCTCCTTTACATCCGTGAGTCTCAAGTGTCACTCATGCTGCTTTGAAGTATTTTGAGTGATCAAAGAACAAACATGATAACTCGGGTTAACAGAAGGAGCCATTTAGAAGCCACAGCATTTAAAACTGTCAAGTAGAAGAGAATAAGTCCGTTACCTGTTGGCTTAACACGCGTGAACCCACCGTGAACCCACTCTGGAGGCTGCCTCCCAGTGCCATCTTGAATCTGTACGTTCAGGGGAAGCTGGCGGCCACGCAGGAGAGCTTGGCAGGAAGCCACTGCAGATGAACCGCAGTGGTGGGGAGAGGGAAGCAACAGTCCGTCAGTGCAGATGGATTCAGAAAGAATGAAATGGGGCCTCCCAGTGTCTGGGCACAGAAACAGGTGCTGAGGCATCTCAGAATTAAGTGCCTAAGACAAAAATGGAAGGGAAACATTTGGAGTGGAAAGTCCTGTTTGGTATGTGGTGGAATCAGGACTTATTACACTAGATCCGCATGAAGGCTCAGGGAATGCTGTGGTATGTCTTCCCTTGCTGCTAGATGTGGGATTTTTTAATTTTTATTTTTTAAAATCTTATGGCTGCACCACTCAGCATGTGGAATCTTAGTACCTTGGTGGTGGTGGTGGTTTAGTTGCTAAGTCATGTCCGACTCTTGCAATCCAATGGACTATAGCCTGCTAAGTTCCTCTGTCCATGGATTCTCCAGGCAAGAATACTGGAGTGGGTTGCCATTTCCTTTTCCAGAGGATCTTCCCGACCCAGGAATCGAACCCTGGTCTTCTTGTGTTGCAGGCAGATTCTTTACCAACTGAGCTATGAGGGAAGCCCTTATAGTTCTTAGTTTCTTGATTAGGGATAAAACCCATGCTCCCTGCATTGGCAGATCAGAGTCTTAACCACTGGACAGCTAGGGAATTCCCTCAATGTCAGATTTTTAAATGCTATGCTGCTTCCAAGGAATCACGCATTATCTCAGAGTAGGATGAAGCAAAACAAAGAGAGGTTCCCTCTGAACCTCCAAGGCTATTTCATTGATGAGAATTTGTGGTAGCAGAAAGTGCAGCTTTGGAAAACCAATGCACTCAAATATCCATCGAGATGTATGATCACATAGCTCCCTACCTCCTGGCTCCCTATAATGGAATCTTAGCCTATTTGGAAATAATGACGTTTAGAGCTTCTTTGACGGTTATTTCCCTCAGGATGAAACAGATCAAATATGAGGATTGATCAGGTTTGGTGGCATTGCCAATTATCAGTGAGTAGAATATACAAAAGTGCTGGATTTTTACACCTGCAAAACATGGGCAAGTTGCTTCACCTCTCAGAGTCACACTTTCCTTATGTGTAAAGTGGAATGAATGAAGTTTCACTTTTATTGTGAGAATATTTGTGAGATGCTTAATGTATATGGTACCTAGAATATAGTAACCATTAAATCATACACTATTAAATAAATAGGGCCTTAGGGGGCATGCTATGATTATAGTATTTTCATGGAAGAGATTAAGAACGTCTAAATGATTATTCTATCCTGAAATGTTTCATTTGTATTCTCTCTTTCTCATATGTCTGAAAGCAGTCTTCTTTTGATGTGATCTAAGAGAGATGTGCCGCTTTTTTTGTTTGGTTGTGCTGCATGGCATGTGGGATGTTAGTTCTCAGACCAGGGATCAAACCCCTACTCCCTGCTTTGGCAGCACGGAGTCCTAACCACAGGACCACCAGGGAAGTCCCAAGATGTGTCGTTTTTAAGGGAAATATATCTGTTCTGATTCTTCAAACTGGGAGTTCTCAGATTTCCTATGAATTCCTTCAGTATGTAATAATGGTGTATGTCTTCTGGGATTTATTTCTCCTATCTTTAGGGATTGTTTTATGGTTTTTAGAGTACTTTACCATTCTGAATTAGTTTTTCTCCATGATACTGGATCATTTTTTCCAAGGATGGGTAGACAATCTGAGAATGTTAATCTGAACCCAGGGAAGCAGATTTTCCAACATCAAAGAACGAGTGTTTGGGACTAAACCGACTGAACTTAGGATTTCTGTAATTTGTATGACAGTTCTTCCTTCCACAGCGAAGTAAGAAATTGGACATCTTAGAGTGAAGGATAATGTCTGTGACCAAGAGCAGTGGTTCTCAAAGTGCAGTTGAGAACCTGTGTGGTTCCTGAGACCTTTCAGGAAGGTCCCCAAGCTAGGAGGTCCTTTTTCCTATTACGGGTCTATGGGAGGCCAAATTTTCTTCCAGTACTTCAGCCAAAACATATTACAACAAATATGAGAATCCAGCTGTCTTCTATGAAGGCAGACATTCAAAGAGATCTTAAAAATGTAAATCAAAGCCACTGTTCTCACTGTAATTTTTTATGTTTTGAAAAATATATGGTATTTTTCATAAAATATGGTGTTTATGTTAACATGTAATAGTTTGTCATTTTAAATGAATTAGTAATAAATACTTTAAAATTTTCTCAGCTTTAATTTTTAATATGGTCCTTATTAATTAATAGACATAGCCCACTTAAAAACTTTTTGAGGTCCTCAATAATTTAAAAAATGTTAAGGTGTTCTGAGACTAAAATTTGAGAATCATCATCCTAGAAATTTTGGCTTTGACATCAAGTTTAGAACATCTACAATTAGCTACTAGTTCTGAGACTTAAAAAAAAATGAGACCTACCGTACTATTGTATGTGAACAATATAAAAATGAAATCCCTTGTTTTTTGCCACCCCCCAAGGAGTGAAAGGGCCCCACAGGGTCTGAGTACTGCCTCTCTCTCTAACTAGTTGAACTCATTGAAATATCTCTACTGGGCTAGTTAATAAGCTGGCGGAGTCCTGTTTTTATTTTTTCCTGTTCAAGGTCACACAGTTAATCAGTGGTGAAGTTAGGACTTGAAAACTAGTGGTCCAGTTTCATGGTCCATTCTGTTGTTGGTTGTGGAAGCCCACTCCAGAAAGCCACAGTGCTGAGTGCTTTATGGTATCCTATTCACTCCCTGCAAGAACCCGTGAGAAAATTATAATTGTTTAGGAGATGAGAAAAGCAAGGCTAAATGGTGGTAATCTTGTCCATGGTCATGCTCCTATTAAGATGCAGCTATACCAAAATAATAAATCCATACACATCAAAGGACTAATATATGGAGATTATTAGGCTGTTTTTTTTATATCTAAGCCCAAATCCTTCCTGTTCTCTTGCACTTCAAGCTTTATTGCATTTATGTCCTCATCAATTTGCCTGATTCTGAAAGGTCCATTCACCTGCTAAATAAATTTACTTTATCAAATAGGGCTGGCAGAGTTCTCTTTTCAAAGTCACTGTTGAATCTGTCCCCTGGTGTCGAGGAGTATGGAGGGTGGGGATAATCCTCACTCATTAACATGTTAGCATATTTGTTTAACACCCCTATTCCTTGTCATTCTAGGCTTTTTGATAAACACATAGATTCTCAGGGTTCACAGGCAAGCCAGATGAGTTTGAGGGAAGGGGCAGGAGTAGCTTGCAAGGACTCCTGGGGTCCATCACTAAGGCGTGCTGGGATTCCAGGGTGGGAGGCTAAAGAATCTGGACCAGTGCTGCACTTCATCTCTTTCATACGTTGGTGTTGTCCTGGCCGTGGGCAAAGAGTGGTGAGGATGAATAAGAAAATCAATGAGAGGGAGAGAAATCAGGAGAAGAGGTGATGAGTGGGGATGACACAGGAATCGGAGATGCTCCTCTCTACCATGCAGCTGCTCAGGTCTCATCCTGCAGCCATGAGCTCTCCAAGACCTGGATCAGGGTCATGTCACTCCTGGGAGACGCTTAGGGCTGTACTGTCTTCTCTAGGTCTTGGAAGAGCTTAGCACATGATGACTGTTGTTGGACATCAGATATCTCAGAATGTACAGACTTGAAGATGCCGTGTAGGCTGGTTGAAATTCAAGGGTATAATGATTAAGATGTGATAAAGATTAATGTCTAGATTCAGTGGAGGAAGAAAAGTGATAACTTGGGGTATGAAAATGTTAAGCTAGAGAGGTCCAGTTGGCAGTTAGAAACGGGACCTGGATCTTGGGAGGGGCATGGCTAGATGTGTCAGCTTGGGAACCAGCATCCCATAGAGATGGTGGTGGGTTTGGATAGACAAGGTGAGTTGAATAACTGTTTATCTTTTGCTCTATCAGCTTTTCCAGGTGGCCTATGTTTTAATCAAATTTGCAAATTCTCCTCGCCCTGATCTTTGGGTCTTGGAAAGATCTGTTGACTTTGGAAGCACCTACTCACCTTGGCAATATTTTGCTCGTAAGTAGTCTTGCCTACCATGTTATGAGAGGTTTGAATTATTTGCAGCAGATCAAGACTGGGGGTTTAACTAGAAATTTAACCTTTCAGTGTGGCGCATCAGGGACTGATCTGTTTTAACTTTGTAGCTTACCCTTGGAACTTCCGTTTCTCAAGCGTGTGTGCAGGAGTACCAGGGATACACATGTATAACTGGGGTTGAAACACCTCTTATGATAATGGTACTTGCTGCTATTCAGGGGGAAGCAGTGTATCTATAGGGCTTCCCAGGTGGCGCTTGTGGTAGAGAACTTACCTGCCAATGCATGAAACATAAGATATGCGGGTTTGATCCCTGGGTTATGAAGATCTCCTGGAGGAGGGCATGGTAACCCACTCCAGTATTCTTGCCTGAAGAATCCCATGGACAGAGGGGCCTGGTGGGCTGCAGTCCATGGGGTTGCAAAGACTTGGGGCACAAATGAAGCGACTTAGCATGCATGTACGCAGTGTATCTATAACTGGGCCAGAGCTTCATACCATTTCCTTTTATGTAGAACTAGGAAGTAAGTTCCCTCTTTATGGATCCTGCCTTTTCATGTTACTTACTTTGACCTTGTCATCTTCACTAATGAAGAATGTCTGAGTCTCTGAACTCTATGATTAATTGAAGTGGACCAGACACTTGCTATAAAGGCATTGAGTTTTCCAGGAATGCTCCTTAGAGGGTTAACTTGTCTAAGAAAGAGCGAAGATTTAGAATGAAATCTTCAGAGTATTCCTGTTGAAAGTCGCAACAAGGCTTTCAGTGACCAGCATTTAAGTGGCCTGAAATGGCTTGGTTTTTCTTTATTAATTAAGAATTTCATTCTAAGATCCTGTCTAAATATCTTAAATGCTTCTCTGGTCTTTCCCTTTTTGTGTATTTTCTTAAGGAAACATAAGATTTCTTAAGAAATTTAAAAGAGGACATATTTTATTGTACAATATTAACCTTTCCTTCCTAGATTCTAAAGTAGACTGTTTGGAACAGTTTGGGCAGGAAGCAAACAGGGCTATCACCCGAGATGATGATGTACTTTGTACTACGGAATATTCCCGAATTGTGCCATTGGAAAATGGTGAGGTAAGTAGCTTTGGGAGGCCTTGAGAGATAAGACTTAAATATGAACATGAAGATGCACATTTTTTATAATTGTGAAACTTGCATTTTCAAGGAAATCTAAGGTAGGCAAAAAGAAACCACGTTGAAGATGCCCAGATTGAGTTGCTGGAAATTCTTTTTTTTTTTTTAATTGAACTATAATTGACATTGGAAATTCTATTTGAGGTCTTTGATTTTTCTTGGGAAGTCAGGATTCTAAATCTGAGACCCATAGGTCTTAGACTCTGTTTTCTGTTGGAATATTTAAAAAGTGTATCACTGGTGATTGCGGTAAAGACCCCTCTCACTGCTTGACAAACACCTTATCTCCCATGGGAGTAGGGGATGAAGGGGTGGTGGCAGAGCTAACCCTGATCCTTTTTGGCAGGATTGGTGTCATTTGTCGGGGAGGGTTGCCTGTGTTCCTTGTGAAGTCAGCTAGGCTATTGTTAGGGAAGATGAGAAAACAGCGTGGTGGGAATCAGAGAAGAATTCCATGGAGTGAGTTTCAAGTGAGTGTCTTTAAAGGGTGCCAGTCTCATTCTTCTTAGGTAGGGAAATCTTTCTTGAGCAGCTGTATCCAGTATCTTCCAGTGACAGATCAGTGGTTCATGTCTTAATAAGTGGTTGGGACTTGGACTTCATCTCCTCAAGCTTTAAAACTGAACTTGGGTGGTCCAGTGGGAGAGAATTCACTTGCCAATGCAGGAGACCTGGGTGTGATCTCTGGTCTGGGAAGATTTCACATGCTTCAGGGCAACTAAGCCTGTGTGCTGAAATTCCTGAGCCCACACTGCGGAGCATGTGCATCAAGAGAAGCCACTGCAATGAGAAGCCCGCTCACTGCAACTAGAGACAGCCCACGCGCAGCAACCGAGAAGCAGTGCGGTCATAAGTAAAGAAATTTTAAAATATAAAAAAATAAACCTGGGTTTTGAATAGATTTCTTTGTCCCCTTCACTATTTATATCCGGAGACTTCCTTTTTTCAACCTCATTTAGGTTTTTAGATTACTTTAGCCTCCTTTCTTTGATGCAGCTTGACAAAAATTGTTTCCTTATATCCATAGATTTTGACATTATACTTTTAACATTTCATAGTGTTTATAGCTCCACAACATGGATACAGCAAATGGTTTGTGAATGGAAATGATTTACAAAACCCAAGAGCCCAGGTTTTGAAACATCGAATGACTCAAAGAAACCAAGAGTTTTGGAGCTTTAGTTGTGTGTGTGCTAAATAATGTCAGTCATGTCTGACTCTTTGTGGACTGTAGCCCACCAGGCTCCTGTGTCCCTGGGATTCTCCAGGCAAGAATCCTGGAGGGGGTTGCCATGCCCTCCTCCAGGGGATCTTCCCAACCCCGGGATTGAACCTGCATCTCTTGTAGCTCCTGCATTGGCAGGCAGGTTCTTTACCACTAGTGCCACCTGGGAAGGGGCACCTGGCAAGTCTTTAATAAAAGGACTTTTTTTCTCCTCTATGTGTGTGTGTGGTGACCCTTTTAGGTTGTGGTGTCCTTGATAAATGGTCGACCAGGTGCGAAAAATTTTACTTTCTCTCACGCCCTGAGGGAGTTCACCAAGGCCACAAACATCCGCCTGCGTTTTCTCCGAACCAATACCCTTCTTGGACACCTCATCTCCAAAGCGCAGAGAGATCCAACCGTCACCCGGCGGGTGAGTGGTGCTCTTCACTGCCAGGACAGCAGCTTTTGGTACTTTGCTTGCTTATTGAATTCATTGCCTCCAACTCTTTCAACTAAGCTTTTTTTTTTTTTCAAATTGGAGTTTAGTTTCTTTACAATATTAAAAAGTGGATCACTGGTGATTGCGGTAAAGACCCCTCCTGCACAGTTTCCGCTGTGCAGCCAAGTGGATCAGTTTTCTATGTACACAATCCTCTCTTTTTTAGATTTCCTTCCTATTTAGGTCATCACAGGGCATTGAGTAATGTTCCCTGCGTGCTACAATAGTTCTCATACTTCCCTGTTTTACACATAGTAGTATATATATGTCAATCCCAATCTCCCGATTCATCCCACCTCCCCTTCCCCCTTGGATGTTCGTATGTGTGTTCCCTACATCTGTGCTTTCAAGTAAACTTTGCAGCCAGTAATGTCAGAGGCGTAGGAGCTGTTCTTGTCTGAAATACGAGATGTAGTTTAGAAGTTTGGCTGTTAAAGACAAATCATCGTATTCAAAGGAGATGAAAGGCGAAAGATGACAGCCATTCTGGTATTGGTCTGCTGTTAAAACAAATAGTCCCCAGGTGTCAGAAATGAATACAATGAAGGTTTAGTTTTTGCTCATGTCACAGTCTGAGGTGGGGTCAGCAGATGGGATCAGCTCCACATGGCCATTCAGGGACCCAGGCTGTTTCTGTGTAGAGCCACAGCCGTCCTAGGATGTTGGACCCCAGGTCCTCCTCGCATTCCCTGCAACTGGTCAGCTGATGAGGGAAAAGAGAAAGCAGAGGGAGGATGAGTCTCCTAACCACACGGCTCACTGCCATTGGCAGGAACTGGCTGTGGGACCCCTGGAGACGCAGGAGGCTGGATGATGCAATGGAGAAAAGCAAGGGGTGCAGGCATTGGTGAGCATCAGTGCTCTTTGCTAGTGTGAG